ATCATTTATTGAAATAAAATCAAAAATAAAAATTATTTTTTTTCTTAAAAAATCATAATTATATTATCTATGGAATAAAATTAAAAAATCAAATAAGGGGTCAAACTATAATGAACACAATATTTTTTACCTTTAATTGGAGTAATTTTAAATTGATTGTTTAAATGACCAAATTGAATTTTAATAGATAGTATAATTGTATACTAATTATGATTTTTTTTTTAAATTAGATTTTTATTTTTGATTTTATTTCAATAAATGTCATAATAGAACATGAAATTTGATTGTAAAATTTAAAATATTTGATATTCTATATTTGATTGGAGTATTTNCTACCTTTAATTGGAGTAATTTTAAATTGATTGTTTAAATGACCAGATTAAATTTTAATAGATAGTATAATTGTATACTAATTATGATTTTTTTTTAAATTAGATTTTTATTTTTGATTTTATTTCAATAAATGTCATAATAGAACATGAAATTTGATTGTAAAATTTAAAATATTTGATATTCTATATTTGATTGGAGTATTTTTTGTCTAAGTATAATATTTTAAATTTAAAGGGTCTAAGTATTATAGCTTTCAAACTTTAAGGGGTTTGAGTGTAATTTATTAACGAACATTGATGGTAAGGATCTAAGTGGTATGGGCGTATTCAAAGGGTCTACGTGTAATATTTTAAACATAAAGAAATTTGAGTGACTAAGTGACAAACCTCAGAAGATTTAAGTATAATTCTCCCTTAAAAAAGGTTTTGAGGAAATTTAGAATTTTAGAAACCAAAAAAGGTAATGTTCTTATTTATTGTAATCTCTAATGTAAAGCATGTGGTAACAGAGTATTTGNCGAACATTGATGGTAAGGATCTAAGTGGTATGTGCGTATTCAAAGGGTCTACGTGTAATATTTTAAACATAAAAAAATTTGAGTGACTAAGTGACAAACCTCATAAGATTTAAGTATAATTCTCCCTTAAAAAAGGTTTTGAAGAAATTTAGAATTTTAGAAACCAAAAAAAGTAATGTTCTTATTTATTGTAATCTCTAATGTAAAGCATGTGGTAACAGAGTATTTGAAATAGGGTGATCATCCTGCCTTCAAAGAACAATAAAATAGCGAAAAGTAGTCATAGAGGCAAAATGAGTTGGACTTAGAATTTAGTGGGACAAGTGATGTTTGTTCCGGATTAGGTCAATGACCAAGACACATCGTTTTGGCATGAGCTATTTCAATTTTATGTCAAATTTCATCGTTTAGTCCTTCATAATCAAGTTTTACCGTTTTAGAAAAAATTTTATAAATTAATAATAAATTATAAGAGATTTTGAATTCAGCGTCATCATTTTTGTTAAACTCTAAATGAGACGTGCTTTTATGTTAATTATAAAAATTGCATATATCTATTTTTGGTAATTTTCATAGTTTTAGGGATTTTACTTCTGTTTTGAAAATAATTAGGATTTTGATCGTTTCTATTTATATTGCTCCTTTGTATTATAAGTTGATTATTCAATAATATTATATTTTAGAATTTTTTTCTAATTTCTCTATGAGTTCAAATTGTCCTTTTTGGTTCAATACATAAAGAATCATAGTATTCTTTGTGTTCCTTGTTCTGTCACATCAATTGGTATCATAGTCTTGTCATGTGAAATGAGTTCCTTCGAGAGCTGAGTTCTTGGAGTCCCAGACTCCCAGCGATAACAATAACATCAATTTCAACAGTTCCAACAATCCTTGCAAACACTGCAAGAGGGGATTGCTCAGTTGATGATGGGCCAAAAATAGGGTCTCGATCAAGAAACGGTATAAAATGGTGATAGGGCTTGTGTTCAACCTAATCGAGATGAAAGTAGACTCCCAACTCATGTCTGGTCAAAGATGAAGAGATTGTTGTGAACAGAGGTTTTTACCTCCTGATTTTGAACATGTGTTATTCTTGCAGCATCAAGATTGCAAGAAGGGCAGTTGATCTGTTCAAGGGTACACGGAGGAGTTTCAAAGGCTTTTGTCCTGTAACAATCTGATGGAGACTGAGTCTCAAAAGTTTGCTCGATTTATTGGTGGTCTTCATTTTGTCATTCATGATAGAGTTTCCTTGCAGACCCTATACTCCTTGACAAAAACCATTCACTTAGCCATGAGGGTAGAGTTCCAATTGGAGCGGACAAGAAGTCAGACGTAGGATCAAAGTTCCTTTGATTCATCAAGCCCGTGGTGAACCGATTAAAGCAGGTTATGGGTGCACCAAATTTTGTTTCAACCCTAGCTCAAGAATTCAACAACAACGGGGTACCTGTAAGGGCAATAGCCTCGGGTTCAGGTCCAAAAGTTAATGATGCACCAAAGAATCCCTATGTTAGACCTAGGGGAGATAAATGTTATTGATGCGGTTAGGTAGGCCATCGATCTAACCAGTGTCCTAAGAGGGATGTAGTAAATCTGGTTGGTACTGAGGTGGTTGATCGGAAGGAAGAGATTACGAAAGAGGAGGATGAGAGTGTGTGGACTTATGGTGATGAGAGGATCTCATTTGTGGTTCGTTGGCTAATGTACACTCTCAAGCTTGAACACAACATTCAGTGACACAACATCTTTCGGATCACATGCACTATGAATCAATGGGTTTGTTAGTTGATTATTGACGGTGACAATAGTAAGAATATAGTGTCCAAAGAGGTTGTTGATCAACTATAATTACGGACTGAAAATCACCCTTTTTCTCTACGCTAGTGTAGTTTTTGCAGTGTTGTAGGAGAATAGTTTATTTATGAACATCAAGAAGTGCAACTTCATGACTAATAACCTTGTATTCTTGGGCTATGTAGTTAGTGCTACTGATATTTCTATTGATGATGAGAAAAATTGGATTATCTAAGAGTTGCCTACATCGCGGACAGTTAGTGAGGTTCACAGTTTTTATAGCTTTGCAATCTTTTACAAAGAGTTATGATGAATTTTAGCAATGTTACAACAGCCCTTACTAATTGCCTAAAGCAGAAGCAATTACAGTCGATTGATGAAGCTTAGTGACTGGAGGGTAGACTCGTGACATTCTTTAGTGAGAAGTTTAGTGAGGCCAAACATAAATGGTCTACATATGAGTATGAGTTTTATGCAGTTGTGAGAGCCTTATAGTACTAACAATATTACCTGATTTAGATGGAGTTTAGTTTCAATACAGATCATCAGGTTTTGAAATATCTCAATAGTTCTACTACTCCCAATGGCATGCATGCCTGGTGGATTGTTGAAATTCAGAAATTCACTTTTACCCTTAAGCATAAATTTGGCTAATTGAACAAGGTGGCCGATGCTTTGAGCCATTGAAGTGTGTTATTGACCACTGTTCACCGTGAGGTGATCGAGTTTGATTACTAGATTTAGCCCCAATGCTTAGATGCACATGAGGCCTTAGGAGACTTTCAGGTCTATGATGGATTCTTGTTCAAAGTCACACGACTTTGTATACTCCAAGAATCCTTGCGTGAGCACATCATTTGAGAGTTATATAGTGGCGGCTTAAGAGGGCACACGGACCGAGATAAGAATGTGTTCTTGTTAGAGGAGCTTTATTTCTGGTCCCAACTGAAGAGCGATGTGGAGAGGTTTGCTAAGCAGTACTATTATACATGTCAGACTACCAAGGGACATGTGTAGAATATCACCCTTTACACTCCTCTTCTCATTTTAGATGCACCATGGGAAGATCTATCCATGGATTTTGTGTTGGGTCCTTCATAGACTCGATGGAGTATGAACTCCATTTATGTTGTTGTTGACAGGTTTTTCAAAATGATACCTTTTATTTCATGTAGGAAAACCTCAGATGATTCTCATGTGGCTCATTTATGCTTTTAGGTGGTTGTTCGTTTACATGGCATCCCTAAAACCATCATTTCTGGCTCTGCCAACAAGTTTCTTAGTCAATTCTGGCGTAGTTTATGGAAGCAATTGGATACTTTGTCGTAGTATATTAGCTTAAGCCATCCAAAGATAGATGACCAAACAGAAATGGTGAATCGTACATTGGAGAATATTTGAGGAGCCTTTGCAATAGTTCCCAAGGTAATGAGATAACACCTTGTCCCAAGCAAAGTTTGCTTACAAAAATGTTCCTAACAGATCTACTGGTAGGTCTTCCTACCCAAACTTTCAGGGATGAACATTATAGTTGAGCACATGTTAGAGAAGTTAGCGGTTGTGCATGTCAAGATGAAGCAGCAGTTGGAGAAGTTAGTGGCCAGGTATGACGAAACAATTGACAAGCACTACCATTAGAAGTTTTGTGAGGTTGGTAACATGGTTATGGTTCACTTACGCAAAGAGAGGCTACCCGTGGAGACTTATAACAAGTTTAACTAGATAAAGATGACCATTTTCAAATTTTGAGGAAAATCAATGACAATGAATATGTTGTTGATCTCTTTTTAAATATGGGAATCTCTAGCACTTTCAATGTCCAAAACCTATTTGAGTTTTCATTCTGATGGTATTTTGTTTCCACATGTTAACTCGAGGACGGGTTTAGGAGGGATTGATGTAGTGTTCTTCGTGTTCCTCGCTCTATTGTGTCAACCTCAAAGCCTAAATAATGCATAGTTGAGGAAAGGATATCCTTGTTGTGTAGTTGATGAAATTTGTAATAGATGAAGAGAAAAAATAATTTGTCAAAATTCAATTATACGTAATTAACATGTAACTAGATTTTAAATGAATTATAGAATTTGTGGAGACAATATTTGTATCTCTTATAATTCATATTAATTATTTTTTTATATTTTCTTTTCGAATTTTATCGTATCTCTCTTTCGAATTTATTTTTGCCATTCCTTATTTGCATAATGCATAAAGTTTTGAGTTTAAAAAAAAAATGTCTAATAAGGACCAACAGAGGTTACACACGTGGCAGATTAGAGATTTTGTGATCGCCTAATTGATACATCAGTACCTGGTTCCCATTTAACCACCGGCCTGCTATGAGACACATATATACTGGGACTGATAGATAAGGTCCGTCGCTTCATTGCCTCTGAACTCTCGTGTCTCTGTTGCATCCTCTTGTCCTGAGAGAACACTGTCCTTTCTTTCCTTCGTTCTATGATAACGGTCCTTGAATTTTTGTTACTTTTTAGCAGTTGTTTTTTGGAATAAAATATCAAACTCCTTATGTGGAATTTTTGAGTCCACTCAATTCTTGGGTACTACTCACAACCAGCATTGCACAACTCTCTTTGTATTGAACTGCAACTGCTTCTCTCCCTGGAGGGAAGATCTTCTCAGCTGAACACCCATTTGACTTCTGTTCAATTCATTCGGGCATTTTCCTACCTTCCTTGTTTTGTTTCCAACCTCTGATTCTTGCGTCAAATTGTACATTTTCTCAGTTGGTATTTGGTATTTGAAAAATTGACCAACTATCTGAGTTGGGTTTTTGGTGATTTTGGTAACTGGGTATTTTTTAGGATGATGTCAATGACATGCCACAATCTCGAGTTTGGTAGAACTGGGTTGGATTTTGGTTCATATGGGTGTTCTTCCAATGCTTCATTTGAGCGGTTTTCCGTCAGAAATTATGCAAGAGGGATCTTTAAGAGTGTTAATAGGGGCTATAAGGCTCGGAAACTGTTGTGTAGTCGGCGTGAAATTGCTCGGTGCCGCGTGTTCTCGACGAAGACTCCTGAAACTCTGCTAACTGGTATATATTTTATTGAGTCCGGCATAGATTTTGTCTGTATCTAATTGGATTCGAGTTGAACAGTATAGTTTCCTGTCATTTATAGCTTAAAATCTCAATATTAGAGTTTTAATTTGGCTATTGAACTGTTATAGGGGTTACACCAGGTCCTCCACTAGTGCTAGATGTGAAGGAAGAGTCAAGAAGCCCAATAAATTTGTTTGATGTGGTGGCTGATGACCTGCAAATATTGAACAAAAATCTCCAAACAGTGAGTAACCCTTCATGGTTGCTGATTACCTCAGAATATAGTAGCCCTTTATGGTTCTTTTATGACTTGTACCCTTTCATAAAGATAATTGACTTGTATGCTTTGAAAGTGGCGTTTAATGCTTTTCCCTTGCAAAAATACATTCGTCAAGATGTGGTAGTTTTAAACTTCTTGCTGACGGTAATTCGTGAGTTTATTGGTGCTGAATGCGATATTAGTTTTCTGCGATAAAAGTCACCAAAATGATATGGTCATTTGCATTTATCACCATTAAACTAGTAAAGAAGGGTGAAATGATCCACAGCCAAGGAAAAGAGCAAAATTCATGTGGCTTGAAGAAGTTACTAAAGATTTGATTGGATATTGTTTTGATGAAATTATGCCCTTAGGCTGAATAGTATTGCAAAATAGAATTCATAGGCTGAATAGTATTGCAAAATAGAATTCATACAGCCTGCACATGGTTGAGCGAAAGAATCTTGCTTGTGAATTTCCATGCGAATATGATAATTTGCCAAAAACATGAAAGGAGGTTGAAAGCAGGTGATCGCAGGATCATGGTGTTGATAGTGATACTAGTAGTGGAGTTGGTAAGGAAGAGGTAATGAAGTGGCTGTGGTGTTCTTTCACTACCATTATGTTGAAAAGAGTAGAGCGTATGCCATAAATAGTATCTATGGCTGTGTTGTAATGCCTATGGTGGTCGCGCACTTAGGCAAACAAGTAGGAATGGTGGCTGTAGCAGCTGATGGAAGACGGCAGGATACCTGTTCTATGAACAATATTCTCTGACAGATCAATTGTCGATAAGGTGAAACGTTGTAAATGCCATAGGTCCTTGTTTGTGCTTCCTCCTCACTGAAGATGCAAGTTTATTCGTGTCAGTATGAAAACAAGGATAATTTTATTTGTATGATTTGCTGATGATGTGGAAGCTGTAACTGCTTATCATGAAACAGCTATAAATGTGGTCAGCAGCTACTCAGCTAGTATCCTGCCTCTCTCTTCCCACACTATTACTTGAATCTTGCTCCTCTATTATTATGGTTGTCTTTTTCAACAGCAACCTATCCCATAGATTTGGAAATGGTAACCTTAATTTTTTCTTGGATTTTGAGCCACTGAAGAGGCCTTTCCTGAGCAGTTGTCTGAATGATATTGAGTGCTAGGATGAGTGGCCTTTTGTCTTACTTTCTTTTTTCAATATAGTCGAAATGTTCTAATTGGGCACTAAACTAACCTTCTGTAATAACACGTTATAATTGCTCCCCCATTTCCATGGCATTCTCACACTTGCTAGCCCAATCTTTTACCTGTGTATTGACTAGTGTCAAATGAGCATGTCCCCATAGTCATAGGTTTTTGAATGTGGTCTTTGATGTTTCTTTATTAGACTACTTCTCAATGGATTCATCCGTTTGGTTTTAGCATTTCATTAGTTCCTTGATATGGTTAGAACATGTTGTGTGCTGATATATTGTGATCTTTTCCCAAATGATTGTGCATTATTAATAAATAGTTTTTATGATACTGGCAGTTATTGGCCAAACATTATTCCTTTTGGGTTTGCACCATTGATTGTCCACTACCAGTATAGTGTGCATAGAGTTTGTGCATTCTCATCTCATTTTCCTTTGAGTCTTTGACTTGCACTGTTATGAATTAAACATTTATTCATCAAGTCAATCTTCTTCTGCCTCTTCTTCTCTCTCTCTATATCGGCCTGCACAGGTCTATGCACGTGTGTGACAGGGTTGGTGGATAGCGGTTAGAGTGTAGTGGGTGATAGGTTATAGGTTATAGAGGATCAGCAGCAATTTCAACATCTTGTGTTTGTTAACTTGGAAAATATATTTTGCTTATCCTTTTTCATGTAGACAAGTCATATGACACTGGGGTCAGAGTACAAATATCGCTATTTGCTTAAAAGTCGTGTATCTGATGAAGATCATCTTCAAGATTGTTGGTGCAGAAAACCCTGTTCTTATGTCTGCTGCAGAGCAGATCTTTGATGCTGGTGGAAAGAGAATGAGACCAGCTTTGGTTTTCCTAGTGTCAAGAGCAACATCAGAAATTGTGGGTTTTAAGTGAGTGCTCTCTGATCTTTTCCTAGAAGTATTTGCTATATGAAGGGCAGAACACTAAAAATTTCATGCCATGCTTCTAATATATCAGGGAACTTACAACAGAACATAGACGTTTGGCGGAGATCATTGAGATGATCCATACGGCAAGCTTGATTCATGATGATGTACTGGATGAAAGTGACATGCGGAGAGGTACAAATGTGTATATTTTCTATGGACTACAGAAGTATTCTTGATGTTTTGCCATGTCTAACCCGAATATTAAGCAGCTCTGTGTCGTATAAACATATTAGCACATTTGTAATGTTTGCACCCAAGGTTATAATTTTCATTGTGCTGAAATTTTTAGCTTGTATACTCATTGGACATTACTTTGGGTACCGACTCCCAGACCACTGTTCAGCATATATTTAGGTTGCCAGTACAAATACCCAAGTTTGTGTTGGATGTTTGGCTGTCCATGTCATTGATATGTTAGTGATTTCTTCTTAAATTGTTTGCTATAGAGTATTTTTTCAAACGATTTTTTTCGGTATACTTTTTCCATCAATCTAAAGTATTATATCGTTATGTCCTCGATTCTGTCAGCCATTTCTTCTACAAAGCCAACAACTAAGGCATGCTTTAGTAAAAACGCACTGCTGCTTGTATTTCCTGACTCAACATTTATATGGGGTCCTTCATACCTATTGTGTGATTTGAGGAGCTTCAGTGGGGTGATTGTCTTGTAGAATTGCCGAGGCATAAACTAGGCCTGGTGTATAACAAACTTCCTTTAGATGCAATCTTTCGGGGTGATTGTCTCGTAGAATTGCCGTGGCATGAACTATGCCATGTGTATGACAAACTTCCTTTAGATGCAATCTTTCTTTTTTATCTCTTCTTTTTTGTACTTAGCAATCTGTCACCTTTTTACTGAACCCTCTGAAGCATACTCTGCTTGTATGCAGGGAGGGAAACTGTTCATCAAGTGTATGGTACAAGAGTGGCAGTGCTGGCAGGGGACTTCATGTTTGCGCAATCATCATGGTACCTGGCCAATCTTGAAAACCTTGAAGTCATAAAGCTCATCAGCCAAGTATGTCTGAATATATCCTTTGTTGATTATGATCCATGATCCTCCTGTGGCTGTCAGGGTTTTCTAAAAATCCTTTTGATTCAGAGTTAGGTGATTAGGTATCAAAAAGTAGAAGGAAATAACCTAATGCTTATTAGTTTTACCCTCATGTAAGTTTGCGGGGTATCATGGCAGGTAATTAAAGATTTTGCAAGTGGTGAAATAAAGCAGGCATCCAGTCTGTTTGACTGTGACGTTGAACTTGAGGAGTATTTGATCAAGAGCTACTACAAAACAGCCTCGTTGATTGCTGCTAGCACTAAAGGAGCAGCTATTTTTAGTGGGGTTAACAGTGATGTTTGTGAGCAGATGTATCAATATGGTAGGAATCTTGGTCTATGCTTTCAAGTTGTCGATGATATATTGGATTTCACTCAGTCTGCGGAGCAACTGGGGAAGCCAGCTGGAAGTGACCTGGCAAAGGGGATCCTTACTGCGCCAGTGATTTTTGCACTAGAGAAAGAGCCCAAACTGAGAGATATGATTGAATCCGAATTTTGTGAAGCTGGTTCTCTAGAAGAGGCCATTGAATTAGTCAAGACATGTGGGGGCATTGAGAGAGCACAAGATCTTGCTAAAGAGAAAGCTGATGTTGCCATCCGAAGTCTCCAATGCCTTCCTCAGAGTGCCTTTCGACTAGCGCTTCAGGAGATGGTGAAGTATAATCTTGAGCGGATTGATTAGGTAGAAAGAAACGTCCCTGTTGTAAATGCCCATGTTAACATTTGAGCAATCCTCGACAAGGACTTGTTGAGCATGAGGAAAGATGGACTTGAGTTGAAGCCTCTATAGTTATAGCAAGCGCTTCCACATGTCAGCAAGCTCTATCAATGTCATGCTGCTCATGATTGGTGGTATATTCATAAAGGTGGTGAGCAATGAAATTAGCTCCTTATATATTGTAGCAAATAGCAGCTTTCTTGCCAATTGGCTCAAAGAAAATATTTTTTTCTTTATTCTTGTACACTAATCATTGTTGTACACTATTTTCGACTTCAAATGATGTGAAGAGCAATACTCTTTTCTTGCGTCTTCGTTATACTGATGGTTTTTAGAATCACATCATCTGTTCATGGATTGTTTGTGTTTGTGACCGTGTAGCAGCAGATGTTCTGATATTTTTTTGTAGGACTTCCGCCAACCCTGCAAAACATTGCCATTCTTTCCATCCATAATGGGCAAGGGGCATTTTGCATTCCTGTTTACCAAGGAAGAGCGTTAAGGTGTGTTTGGTAACATTTTAACTTTTAAGTACTTTTTTTATTTTTCGACCTTTTTTTATCTTTTTAACTTCTTTTTTTAGAAGCACTTGTCTTTGTCTTTTTTTTTTTTTAAGAATCTTTTTAATCTCTTTTTTCAAGGATTATTTGTTTTGAAATTGTTTTTCTTTAATTCTTTCGTAATCCGGATTGGTTCCCTTCCACTAAGTTTGATAGTATCTGTAATTGGAAAAAATTCCACTTTGCCCCCAAAAAGATAACAAAATTCTCATATTGTACTCTGGAAGATTAATTTTTCCAAATTACACCCTCAAAGAAATAAAAAAGTTACAATATAATCTACCACCATATTTTTGTTTAAATGTCCGTCTATTTTGTGATCACATGCGAAATACATGATTATATGCAAGGACTTTATTGTAAAACAACACCAATTGAAGTTCCATTATCCCATTAGTGAAAGAAGAATCTTATTAATGGAGCTCCAATTGGTGTTTTTTTACAATACAGCCCTTGCATATAATCACGTGTTTGACACATGATCACAAAATAGGCAGACGCCTAAACAAAAGTAAGGTGGTGGACCGGATTGTAACTTTTTTNAGCCCTTGCATATAATCACGTGTTTGACACATGATCACAAAATAGGCAGACGCCTAAACAAAAGTAAGGTGGTGGACCGGATTGTAACTTTTTTTACTTCTTTGAGGGTGCAATTTAAAATAATTAATTTTTTGGGGGTGAAATGTAAGAATTTGGTTATCTTTCTATGGGCAAAATGGGATTTTCCCATGTAATAGTACAAATATGATCATCTATTAATATAAAATAGTGATGGAATATGGTATTACTTTTTGCGACAACATTGCTTTTTTCTGCTTTGAAAAAAGTTACTTCAAAAAAAGATTGCTGAAATTGTGCCAACATAAACTCCTTTTAAGAACATGTTCGATATCGAAACCAAAATAGCAAAGGTGCTACTTTATAGCACTTTTTAAGGTCATTTTTTGGATTTTTAATGTGCATTTTTAAGTACTCTTTCTTAAGTAATGTTTGTTTTAATTTTAATTTTTTTTTGTTTTTTACTTTTACTTTACCTAGGTTTACATTCTTACTCTAAACTCAATCACCTGTGTGTGTATATATATTTCTATTTATATACCAGTTGTGTATGTGCCCCTTTTTTTTATAAATAAATAGTGAGTCAGTAAGTGCTTTTTATAGTTTTTGTGGTACTAACGATCGAACACAAAAGTGATAAAAATAATTACAAAAAAAAATTGATAAATTACGATACGATGCCAATTTTTTTTTTTTTTTTTTTCATTTCGTAGACTAGTCCTCCAAGCTATTTAGTAATTGAGCACAATGATTTTAATGCNTTTTTCATTTCGTAGACTAGTCCTCCAAGCTATTTAGTAATTGAGCACAATGATTTTAATGCTCCGTTTGATAGGAATGATGAAAAGCAGAAAGGATGTTAAGTAAGAGAGATATACTTTATATCCTTCAAGGATGTAAAATAAAAATGATACATTTTTCTTCTTTTGTGTTTGGTTGGATGGATGAAAAATAAAAATGACTAATTTTTTTTTTGATTTTTTTTTTGTGCTAGATAAGATTAAAGGTGACAATCGAATCATGTCGTGTCAGATTCGTGTTGAGTCATAAAATTATGAGTCTTTTATATTTTTTATTCGTGTATCAGGTCATTTTTCAAGTTCGTGTCGAGTTATAATCAAATTTGTGTCATAAAATTCGTGTCGAGTTCGAGTCATATCATCATATTGAGTCGAAAATTTTCACCCCCTAATTAACTTTTCATCCACTTTCCTTCCGATTTTGGAAAGATTGATTTTTGTGAGTTCGAAAGAAAGTTCATTCATCCACTTTTCCATCCTTCCTATTTTTCTTCCTTACCAAACATGATATTTTATTTATTCCTCTAACTTTCCATTCCTCCAACTTTTCATTCTTCTAACTTTTCATTTTTTATTTTTCCATCATATCAAACGGAGCGTAAGTGTTCTCACCTCCTCCCCTTCTAGGGATGATAGTCCATGATAGTTGGGGAGTGGAAGACAGAGGGCTGAGCTCACCAAATCCCAATTTTCCCACTTTCTCATAAAAGTTGTTTCGATCAATCCTATTTGAATTTAATTTATTAATATAATTATTTATAATCATTACATTAATAGTAAACTTTGATATTTATTAACTAATCTAATAGTTTCAGGAAATTAGGTCCAAAAAACATTGTTGATACTGTAATGAGAAGTGTAATTCATTTGCATATAGATTGACCTAATTTCAATATAGACCGACCTGAACTTTGCAGCATGTCCCCAAAATCTGAAGCAATGTTACCTAGATTGTGTTTTTTTTTATACGTGGTACAAGTATGAGTACCACGTGATCCAATATTTTCTGATATGCAGTGTGATGAGAATAGACTTAATTGGTATTATCTCTCATTTACTTCTTCTAAGCCTCAATGTAGTTGAAATTCTTACGTATTAAGTATATTATTTTTTTTTATATTATATGAATTGCATACGTTGAAATAGTTATAATTTAATGTTCTAAAATATGCTGGGTTTATAAGAAAATTATTTTACGTTTTTATTTTAAGATCTTATGTACATAAGCATCTAGAAATCAAACAATGACCGAGTAGCTTGTGATTGAGGGATAGATTGATCCACGCTCAAAGAAGGCTTGACCGAAGGAATGAGTTAGAAGATAAATTGGAAGCCCCAATAAGAAACAAACCTACCCACAGAGCATTTTTTGGGAGGTAATGCTATGTCGACCAAATTATTTCCCAAATTTTGTATCTTAAATTAGTGTGGGTGGTTGGATCAATGAGGTCCACTAATTCCATTACAAATCAATGTATAAGATTTTGACACATTATTTAAGATATAATATTTGGTAAACAAATTTGGGTAACACATTTTTATCCTTTTCGAGGACTGATCGCTTTTCTTCTTACTTAACTTCTAAGAGCATCTCCAACAAAGTTTTGTATTTTAACTATCTAAAAATATATTTTTTCTATTTTAGCTACTCACTTTTTCAGGGAGAGATAGAGAGAGAATGGAGAGAAAGACAAAGAGTCGACAAGAGAGATGGAAAATTGATGATGCATAAATTGGCTTTGCACACCACCTGTCAAATATCATTAATAAATGCAGTAATTAATTAGTAAATAGAGAAAACAAGAATTATAGTGGTTCGGTCAACGTGACATACGTCCACTTTTGAATGGCTAGGGTCGCTGGATATTTTATTAACTTAAGTGTAGGGAGAGCAGAGAGTTACAAGCTTAGAGAGAGAGAGGAGAATTGTGCTCAGTTGAGTGTGATGATCCTGTTCCCCAAGTGTTGGTGGGGCTTACAATTTATAATCGCACCCTAACAAATCGGGACGACTTAATAGCAACTAAGTAACTATTCCTGTGGATCTCACGACTTCTTCTCAACGGACGAGGTGGTTGAGGTGCTTCCCGCGAGACTCAATTAGAGATGAGGTGAGGATTGACTATTTCTAAGGCGATGAGGATGAGGGTCCCAGATGCTCTTTTGATGACATAGCCAAGTTGACGTAGCTCCCTGATGAGCTTGACTGGACTTGGACCATATCGGGCTTGGTGGGTCTTTATAAAACTGGGCTTTTAGTTAAGATTAGTCTTCTCACATAGATCGGGCAATTTGAGCTTGGCCCGTCATTTGCCCCCCAATGCCCCGTGTCTAAGAAAAACTTGGAGAAGGGGGCATTAGTTTGAATCTTGAGCTTTGGGTTCCCCTTCATAATATATTTTGCCTCACTGAACACCTCAAGTCTTTTCCACTTTTACTTGAATTTTTAAGAGAACCCTTGATTTTCAATTTGAGTTTTTCCCTCTTTGAAAACCCTAGGTTATAAATAGAATCTTCCTTCTTTATTCCACCCATTTCCTTCATCTTGAGATTCAAAACCCATTCTTGAAAACCCTCAGAGCCCAAGTGTTACCCATTCCATAGTAAATTGAGAGGGTGAAGGAGGGTGCTCTCCTTGAATCTTTCCAAGAATATATATATATATATATATAGGTGATATTTCTTCTTTTTGAGTAGAGTATCCAAGTGGGCAATGTTGATTGAGGAGTGAGATATGCAAAACTCCATTGGAATGACGGGGATCGAAGGAGAAATTGAAGATGGGGAGCCTCAGGCACTGCTCAACGAAGAAGAATCCAAGAGACAGGGAGGCGGGTTGGGCAACGGCTGGATAGGCGCACAGGCCAGTAAGGGAGCTACCCAGGCCTTTGGGCAAGTAGCCCCTGTGGCGGGAGAGCAAGGTGCGCGAGCAGGCGCTGGATTTGGCAGTGATCTGGGCGCCAAAGGCACTGTTTTGGACAACAATCTGGGCGCTACAGGCGTTGGATTGAGCAACAATCTAGGCGCCACTTTAGGCGCTAAGCTGGGCTTGCACGGTATCCGTGAAAATGGAGAATGGGGACGAGTAGAAGGAGGTGCATGCGCCTGCTGTGTTGGGCGATCAGACTAGGCCAGACGCCCCTCTAGTCAATTTGGGCAAGTATAGGGGGTCAGTTGCTCCTATGGGTGCCGGTTTGGCCTACTTGGGCAAGCAAAGGGAGTCAGGCACCCCTATGGGTGCTGGGTTGAGCAAGGCAGGCGATAGAAAAATTTTGGGCGCCACTTTTGGTGATGATTCGAGGAGTTCAGGTGACCAGGAAGCAATGCATACTAACTTGGGTCCTAACCCGGGCACCGATGGGCGTGGACCACCTATGGCAGATGATTTGGTTCCTTCGAGTGACA